CCCTCCCTCCCTCACAAACCCTTGATAATTTATAAATTATTATTTTTCCATGTCTTACACTGTCCAATGTCACCCTTCACCCACTTTTCTGTTTTCCGTCCTCCAGGGAGGGGGTCATATATAGATCATTGTGATCGGTTTGCCCTTTCTACTCCACCTTCCTCTTTCCCTCCTGGTATCACTATTCTAATTAGTGGTCCTCGGGGGGGTTATCTGTCCTGGATTCCCTGTGTTTTCAGCTCTTATCTGTACCAGGATATATACTCTGGTCTAGTTGGATTTTTAAGGTAGAATTAGAATCATGATAGTGGAGGGGAGGAAGCATTAAAGAACTAGAAGAAAGTTGTATGTTTCACTGGTGCTATTCTACACCCTGACTGGCTTGTCTCCTCCCTGAGACCCTTCAGTAAGGTGATATCCAATTGTCTACAGATGGACTTTGGGTCTCCAATCCCCACTCCCCTTCATTCACATTGATATGATTTTTTGTTCTGGGTCTCTGATGCTGATACCCGATTCCATCAACACCTCACGATCACATAGGCTGGTGTACGTCTTCCATGTGGACTTTGTTGCGTCTCAGCTTGGATGGCTGCTTGTTTATCTTCAAGCCTTTAAGACCCCAGATGCTATGTCTTTTGATAGCTGGGCACCATCAGCTTTCTTCACCACATTTTCTATGCACCCATTCATTTTGTCTTCAGCTATCATGTCGGGACAGAGTCACCTCATTTTTTAAATGACCTAATGATGTAACTTCATTTCCTACTCAGTCTTCAGTCATTTTTATTATGATGAACATGTAAGTTGGATCTTCATTAAAAATATAAAATCAGTCCTGGAAAAATCCCATATTCTGCTGTCTCAGCTACTTAAAATATCAGACCAGGAAAATGTCATGCTGCCATGCAGACAGGGACTTTCTAAAAACTCCAACCAGGTCTGACTTGGGAGAGGTACAGCCAGAATGCTACTTAGAGGCAAGGATGGCAACACTTTGTCTCATAAACTTTGAACATGTTGTCAG